TTAGGACTGTTCCTGACAGGCAGGGACTGGCCGGAGCGGGTCTACCTCAGGCCGGCAGTGGTGTGGGTTATTGACTTCAGGCAGGAAAGATTTCACAACAGGAGTCCAGGTGGTTTTGAGAGGATGTTTATTAAAGCTGGGGACAGCGAAACAAGGAAGGGCCTAGGATAGAAGAAGCAACAGGAGAGACCTGGGCAGGTGGCTTTGGCTCTTTATAAACATTATAGGAAAGACGTGAGCCAAGGAGGGTAGGGGGTGGGTGGTTTCAGGCACCCGGTATGCAGCATTTGCTGTGAGGGCCCCAGCCAATGTATACACCAGGGTGGCAGCCTTCACAATCCTGTTCACACAAGAAGTGGGCACCGAAGGACGGTGTGCCACTCAGCCTCTTCGGGGGAAACAAAGAAGTTGTCTGAGCAACGGCAACGTTCCAAAGTACATGAAACAAGTTAACCAAATTGGGAAATATGCGACATGGTTTTCTTTGATCTGTGAGAGTGTAAACATTGAAAAATTCAGAGCGCCCCACCCCAAGGCAAGCTGAGCCCCTACAGCACTGAGCGGGGGCCTCGAGAGGCCATGCAGCTCCTGCCTTTGCCCTCTTGTTGTGAGAAGAAGCCCAGTCTTTGGAGCATGAGAAGGCACATAGAGCAGAGACGAGCCATCCCACATGTGGACCAACCCGGGTGCTGACAGCCAGCACCAAACACCAGACGTGTGAGTGAGGCCATCTTAGACCATCCAACCCCAGTCAAGATGCCAGATGATTGCAACCTCATTAGTGGTCCCAGGTGAGACCAGCAGAAACGGCTCAGCTGAGTCCAGCCCAAACTGCTGACCTACAAAATCAAGAGTAAATAAAATGGTTGTTTTAAGCTATTAATTTTAGGGTGATTTGTTATGTAGCAACAGATAAATGGTACACTAAGCTAAAATCATATCTGCTCTTGAGACCACTTTTGATGACAGTTTGGGGACTCCCATAGCCACCTGCAAACCCTCCTTGCTGAGCCAGACAAAATTGGAAGATATAGAGTGGTATGTGCATTGGTTAATTGTGCATCTGTTTTCCCCAGGGGCTGGATGACCTCAGGGCCGTACCTGGGTCTCCTGCGTTTGTTCCCATGTATTATGCTGAGTCAGTGTCTGATTTACAGCAGGTGCTCAGACATTTCCTCAATTAGTGAAGTGCCATGGGGCTTGGTTACCAACATCTCCTGCTTCCTAACTGTTCTCCCTGCACCCAGACTTGCTCTTTCAAATCCATCTTCTGTCGTAGGAAGAGAACTTTCTAAAATACAGATCTATACTGGTCTGATCCCTGGTCAAAATCTTTCACTGGTTTCCTACTACCCTCCCGGTTAAGTCCTTTCTCTTTGGAGTGACTGACGACATCCAGCAAACCTTGACCCCTATTTGTCAAGTCCCATTTTGCACCACCCTCTTCCTTGCCATCTAGGCCCAGTCACAGGGATTTCTTTCTGTTCCTTTCTTGTACCACACTCTCTGGTGCCTCTGGACCTTTCCACATGCTATGCCCTCTAGCTAGAACATCTATCCCCATCCCCACCCCAAACCCCAATCTCCACGTGTGGTTAAAACCTACTCATGCTTCAGTTGTCCATTTTGCCTGGATTGAGCAATGACAAGAAGTATGGATCTCCACTGGTTCCTGGGCAGTGGCTAATGGTTTGTTTGGATGGTCAGGGACTCAGAAAGCACAGAATTGGAGGATTCGTGATAAGGAAGAGCTACTTAAATGGACTTTCAGAAATGGGCACAGAGAGTGAAGATATTTCTGACCCAAGTGGAGTCTCATCAAAGGGCATCATGGTAGGGGAGGCTCTGGATAATCAGGTAGCCAGATGGCACATCCCAGGGGCATCAGCCAGCCTCATCTGCAGTGCCTCCAGCGCTTGCTCAACACTCTTATTTTTTAAAAAATATATTTGTGTTGATTTCAGAGAGGAAAGGAGAGAAAGATAGAAACATCAGTGATGAGAGAGAGTTATTGATCAGCTGCCTCCTGCACGCCCCCCACTGGGAATCAAGCCTGCAACCCAGGCATGTGCCCTTGACCGGAATCAAACCTGGGACACTTCAGCCCACAGGCTGCCACTCTATCTGCTCAGCCAAACTGGCTAGGGCTCAGCACGCTCTTGAGCAATGTGGTGATGGTGGGAAGAATGGACACTACTTTTGGGTTCAACAATATGGACTTGCCTCACCAAGGCCGATCTGGCTAATGCCACGACTGTATGCCCAACTTACCATCAACAGAGACAATGTGGAATACCCAAATATCGCCATTCAGAAGGGTTCCTCTGACTACTTGGTGCCAGGTTGATCCCACTGGATCCTTTCCAACATGGGGAGAGCAGTGATTTGTCTTTATGAGCGCAGCCAGAATATAAGTTTCCGGGCATCAATGGGAGGGAGGGAGAGTGGTTTTCTCACTATTATTACACACAAAGCCCCACAGTATTAGTTTCCTGTGGGTACTGGGACAGATTACTATAAACTTGGTGACTTAACGCAACAGAATTTATCCTCTCACAGTTCTGGAGGCCAGAACTGCATCCGTTTCTCTGGGCCTGAATCAAGGTGTCAGCAGGGCTGCCCTCCCTAGACTCTGGGGGAGAATCTCTGCACCCTGACTCTCCCAGCTTCTGGTGGCTGCTGGCATCCCCTTGCTGTGGTCACATGGCTCCTGCCTCTGCTTCTGTCTTCATATTGCCTCCTCCTCGTCTGTGTATGAAATCTCCCTCTGTCTCTCCCTTAAGAGGACACTTGCAATTGGATTTTGGATTTACTGGTTAATCCAGGGTAATCTCCTCATGTCAGATCATTAACTTAATTGCATTTGCACAGATCTTTTTTCCTTATAGGGTAACATTTTACAAGCTCCAGAGACTGGGCCCTGACATCTTTGGGTGGCTACTATTCGGGCTACTGCACCCACTCACAAAATTTTGCTTCTTGTCCCCACAATGTTGGGCTCTGCTAGTTTGGAGGTCTTAGTTTTCAAGGGAAGGGAAGCAACACAAGTTTTCATTGAATTGGAAGTTGAAACTTCTAACTGGCCATTTTGGGCTCCTCATGCCACCAAACCAGCAGGTAAAGAACGAATTAGTGTATTGGCTGCCTTACTGATCTTCATTACCAAGGGGAAACTTGCTGCAGGAGGGTAAGGGTGAGGAGGACTAGGTCTACAACCAGGGGAATCTCTACAGTCCCTCTTAGTGCTTCCATGTACAGTAATAGAAGTTAATGAGCCCTGGCCAATTTGGCTCAGAGGATAGAGCGCCGGCCTGCAGACTGAAGGGTCCCGGCTTTGATTCCAGTCAAGGGCATGTATCTTGGTTGCAGTTACATCCCCAGTAGTGGGTGTGCAGGAGGCAGCTGATCCATGTGTCTCATCAATGTTTCTAACCCTCTATTTCTCTCCCTCCCACTCTGTAAAAAATCAAATATATATATTTTAAAGAAGTTAATGAAAGCTATGGCACCCCAAACCATGCAGGGCCATTGAGGATTCAGAACCTTCAAGAATGACTATTTGGGTCACTCTATCATGTAAAGAACCCTAAGCAGCTGAGGTCCTGGCTGAGGGCAAAGGGAACATAGAAGGGCAATAGAAGAAAAAAAGATATATATGATCAACAGTTATACAGTATAGGTCAACTATGGCATTGTGATGAGTTACCAGAAGGCCTGCATGCATATATTTCTTCCTTGCTTGGTGTGTGTGTGTGTGTGTACGCGTGCATTATATATTAATTTATTTTCCCTCCCTTCTTTTTTCCCCCTATTGTTTTACATAGATTGTGATGACTACCTTAACAGCTTATTGTTTAGTTGCAGGAGGGGAGAAATTAACATTACCCAAATGTGGATTCAACAACTAACTCCTAGAGATGGATACATCTATTGGATGATGGGACTTCCTGTTTTTCCCATTTTTCGGGGGGAGAGAGTGTCTTCATTTGTATGCAAGATAGTTTCATCTTATTAGGTGGAAGTTGCTGTTGCTATATGCAGATTCAAATATGTGTGGATTGATGTGTTTAGATACTGACTGTCCAAAGGGGTGGACTGTAGCAATTAGTAAGCTATTGTTGTTTAGTGCCAAAGGCAAGCTCTGTCATACATACTAGTCTGTCATACTAGGGCTGGGACTCTTCAAACCACTTTACTCCTATTAGCTCCCTTTGACAATACGGGGCACTAGGGAAACACCGGAAGGCAGGAGGAGTGGAGACCTCTTTCTTCCTTTGCTTACCAACCTTATCAGCCACAGCCTGGTAGCAACAGTTGATTGCAGCCTTCGGCATTTTTCTGCACTCCCAATCTTCAGTGCATCCCCTAAAAGGACTATCACCAACCAGAGAGCAACCCCTCTTCAGACCTCTGAGCCCAGCACTTTAGGGCGCATCCCCAGTCAAGCTCGTGGGCTCTGCTAACCCCAACCTCTTCCCTTGTGTAGCTGTTTTAGGAGCTGTAGCTGCTTTCTGCAGTGATTTTTCCCCAGGTTGTCTCAGGGTTCTCTTGTGTTCAAGAGTAATACAAGTGTAACTCATTCCTTATGGAAAATTCTCTTTGTTGAAAAACCTAGTATAGTTTCTTTTTCCCTGACTGGGCCCTGGCTGATGTACACTATTAGGAAAGTGGCACCACTCTTCACTGAGGTACTGAGCCAAAAGAAAGCTAATTTGGAGGTGCAGGGGGTCATCATGGGAGGTCAGCTTGCCTGAGAGGAAGGCTGAGACAGAAGACAGATTGCTGACGTGTTTTATTACCTGGATCTAACTATGCATGGAGCCAAACCTAGCTCTTGGACGTTTCATTATCTGGGCCATTAAGTTTCATTTTTGCTTAAGCTAGGATGGATTGAGTTTTTGTTGTTACAATCAAGAGTCCTGACTAATCCAAATCACCTCCTCCCACCCTCAGGCCAGGTGCCCCACCCCACAGCCACCAAACAGCCAAGGCCAACCACATCCTACAGAAAACTTTAATGAAACCAATAAGTTAATAAGTTAACAAAGTGAGGTACTTGCATATCTGAGAACCGGTTTGGTGGGGAACCTTGATTGCGGAAGGAGCGAGGGCTTCTTCCCCAGTCTCCTTTAGTCAGAGGATAATCCCGTTCTCCTGCCCCTCTCCGCAGCTCTGTCTCTAGGGGCCCAGGGATGGCTCTCTGGGGACAGTGCAGTGCAGGTGAGGTTAGCCGGCATAGGCTCCATCCAGGGCATGATGGTGACATGCAGAGGGCATGTTGGGCAGAGGCTGAGCACCATGGGGCTGAGCAAGATCCAACCCCAGCCCTGGCGCTGGTGCATGCAGGTCCCCAGTCATGAGATGCAGGTGGCTGGGCCTGAGCCCCTTGTTCACTGGTACCCCACAGAGGGTCCCCCTACACATCACTCTCCTGCCACCTGCAATAGCTTTGCAGAAGAGGGACAAAGAGTAGGGATACCACAGAGGTGCTGGGGGCCTGGAGTGGGTGGGGGTTTATGCCAGTAGAGGGGCTGCCAATTAAAGTGAACAGTGGGGTATGGGAGGAGGGGAAACAGTGCATGTGAGTGCTGGATGCACAATTGGTGCCTGAGCAATGGTGGTTGCTAGGTGCATTATTTTTCTCTCTGGGAGTTACAGTGACCAGGAAGGCAGCAAGCCTGGATAGAAGCGGGCCTGATAACCATCTGGGGAGGGGCCTGGGGTCTTTCCAGTGCTGTCCGGGCCCCAGAGGCCTAGGCCTGAGTTGTGCTGTGGGGACGTCGAGGAGGGCCCTTGGGGGCAGGCAGAGGCAGCAGTTAGGGCTCCTGGACCAGTGAGGAGTAGATCTTCTTGAGAAAGGAGAGCTGGTAAAGCTCTGGGGTGGGGCCTGGAGAGACCTGGGGTCCCTGCAGTGCTCCCTCTCCTACCTGGATGGAGTGGGGGGCACCACTTAGTGGACATCATCCTGCAAGGACAGCCCACTGGCATCAGCTGCAGAGGCCCCGGGAAGGCTGTGGCTCTGTGCTAATGTCTCCATGTGTGTAACTGTGTCAGTGTGAGTGTGAGACTTTCTGCATGTCTGGGGAAACTAAAGAGACATGTTCCTGTGATGCGGGAGCATTGTCTGTGGGAGATTTCGGGGAGAACACAGAAACGTGTGCTGTCGAATGTGAGTGGAGGGCCAGAGAGAGGAGTGGACACCTGGTAGGAAGAGGGTGCTCCTGGGAGGGAACACTGAAAAGGGAGGAGAGGCCCAGATGCTGCTCTTGGAGGAGGTAAGGGAGAAACAGGCCCCATGCTGGGTGGGGAGGGGTGATAAGCCAAAGAGTGGAAATGGAGACCATGGCCAAGCAGCCTGAGACCAGCTACTGCTGGGGGCCCATCTCCCAATGAGGGATGGGCAGAGGGACCCCATGGGGGTCCCCAAAGTTGCATATTTAACATAGTTTGCATATATGGTGCCCACCTGCTTAATGGCAGGGTCCTGTGCTTGTGCGTAACTGTGAGGGCACCTTGGGCCCGCCCCTAAAGGGGCGGGGACTTGGCGGGAGGGCTTCCCTGCTCCGTCCGAAGGGCGGGCCGGGAGACCTCACCTTGCATAGCTGGAAGCTGGTTCAAGACCCAGAGCCCCAGCGACCCGCTCATACTCTCCGGGCAGTGCCCCTGCCGCGAGCGGGTTGGGCCTTGATGGGACGGGCAGGGCACGGGGGCGCCCAGAGGTCGCGGGGCAGCGCTGCTGCTGCCCCCTGTGCGGCCTGGCATCGCACGCTCCTGAGGTGGGGCCCGCAGCCCGCATCTCGCCTACCCAGGCAGCTCCATACCACGCACGGCCTCTCTCCCCGCGAGGGGCGAGTTCAAGTAAGAGCAGAGTCCCCAGGCCTCCGGGGGCGGGTCTGAGCGCCAGGCCGAGGGGCTGGCCGAGTGCGTCCCGACGCTGAGAAGCCCCTCAGTCCATGTTGGTGCTGACCGAGCGGGAGATGGTGAGCGTCTGGGCGGAGACGGAGATGTCCTCGTGGTCCACGGGGCTGTGGTAGTCCGAGGTGATGTCGGGGTCTAGCAGCGGCGCCTGCACGGTGCCCAGGCTGGCAGAGGTGCCCGAGCGCAGGCACCTCGAGTAGAAGCCCAAAAGCAGGTCCAGCTTGTGCT